AGTTCGGAGGGCGGCGGGGTAGAGAAGGAGCCATTGACGATGCAGATCTCAATAGTACCCGGGTCAGGTTTGTTCGTCTTGCATATACAATGGCACTAATAATCCGGCGTCGGGCACGTATGACTGATTATGGTGGTGCCTGATAGTGGTGCCTGGCAGCTTGTGACATTCAGGTCCGCAACCGGCAGGGTACGCAGACCAGTATGTCCGCCTAATGAGGATATAGACAAGGCCGCGACGACGGGGACGTCCTTACTTCAATCGGCAGTCAGTGTGCCGATCTTCTTGGCTCGCTCGGATAAGGTCGACAGCGATCAAATCTATCTGAAGACTATAGCGCAGCGTACCTGATCACATAGAGATAGCTGGTGGCCGTGGTGGCACTCGTGGGCAACAACCAGTTTCGGGGCGCGCGGTATTTCTGTATATATATGGTGGAGACCAGAGACTGGTACCCTGCTCTCGTTCCCTCCGGGTTACGCGGAACGATATCAGAACGTCGGGCGTCGAGGGGCTCCTGTGTGTGTGTACCTCGACCGCGACATGGAGACTACGCTTTACTGTACAGTAGTGGAACATTCGTCGGGACGAAGCCGACCAACTGTACCGACTTACCGAGGAACGCCGTTCTTTGTTGACAGAGTGTTTCATTCGCCAGTAGCCCAGGTATCGCTCACCCGCGATTCTGCGATACGGTAGCAAGCGTTGTCTCGTTGGAGTCTATGTATGAGCTTCAGATTACCCCACATGTTGTAGCACAATGGATGGGAAACAAGATGGAGAACGGAGAACGGAGGAGCACCTTTCTCACAAGTGGTGACGACCTCTCCAGGCATACCGATTCTCGGATCTTGGCCCGGATCTTGTCGCGAGGCAGTGATCGCGCGGGTTCTACGCTACAGTAGAGGTATATTGTGCTTGTTGTTGTTTATTTTTTCGTAACAACCTACAGGAGGAGGCCAGCAAATGATGATGCATCAAACATCACCTTATTACACCAAGACCTCCTCCAAACACATGAGTTTCTTTGTACACTGGAGCGCGAGATATACAGTATCCTACAGTAGGGTCGTCGGAGTCTTCACAATTGATAGGGTTGAGGGGACGTTTGCTGGGTACTCGCAAGCGGGTTCACCTATCAGTGCAAAAACCACTGGCTGTACATTTTGCTGTGGCAACACCCCCAACGTATGTATGTATGTCGGCCGCTTGCCATAGATCTCCGACAGGTCAAATCTCCGATGGCAGGTCCAACGAACGCGCCGCAACCCACAAGCATCTACCGTACGGTATCTACGCAATCTACGGTGGCACATTGTCGTCTGTGTACTACAATCCTTGTTCGAGAGAGTCAGAAAACAGCGTGGCACGGAAACCTTGCGGGAAGATGGAAGAGGGGTTCACTCCATCTAACTGAAGGGATCGTACAAGCTGGCGCATGGTGGTACGTTTTCGACGCCTTCATGCTTACACCGCTTTTCTGATGGTGGTGTGAATCGGTCGAGGGAGGATCAAAGCCGTCGTTTAGTCTAGACTACATGCGGGGATGGGGCGCATGTGAATGACTTTCCTCGCAACAGTTACCAGTGGTGGTGTTGGTTGCTCGGTGTGTTATGTTTCGTGATTCTTTTTTTCGCATCATCTATCTGCTGTACATGTATGTACACTGCTTCACGTGAAGATGCGTCGTTTGTGTTTTCTCAACCAAACGAACGAAGTACTACTGTACAACAGCAGTAGACTTTTCCGCGGCCACTACTTGCCCACATCAGCAGGAGAAGCCAACTTCAATATATCCTGCGCTGCAATAGTTCGCCGTCGGTAAAAAAATGGTATGATTTGCTCTACATTCATTCCTGCGGAGTGGTACTACAGTCATATCGGCAGTATTGCAGCGTGGCAGCGAACAACGGCTTTGCTGCTGTCAGGAACTGCTGCCAGACGTCAGTACTGTACGTATTTACGAAATTCTCAGGCGAAACAAATGGTTGATTTCCGGGGTCCGCAACATGCAGTCTATCTCGTGTTGTTTTCCGTTTGACGACTGCTACTACAAACATAGACTATGTCTGTTTGTTTTCTCGTGTTCGAGATCAGGCCAGCGCACTTCTTCTCTCTGTCGGTCTCATCCGTACTGCACTCATGAATACCTTGCCCTGGAGTAGCGAGAGAATCAACATCCTTTTGTTCTCGTCGGTCTGAGGGTGTAGCAGCACTCGGTAGTGTTGCACCTCTCGAATTGGGTCGAGGCTGCCCTTGTGCTTCTCGACGAGCACCGACCTACCTACATGCGGCTTTCCAGATCACCAGCGCGCTACCGATACAACTTTGTTCACCCAGAACGAAAGCCGGGTGGCTATTTCAAAGACGACCCTAGTCGTCTGAAATGCAAACCCGAAGCGTTGTACAACTCGGGAAAGACGCTTCTATTTCAGTAGTCATCGGGTTCTTCCGGCGTCGTCCTGGAAGTTCGTTTTCTCACATCCCAAATCCCAAATCCATTGTGCGGGTGGTATTAGGTCGGACAACAGGCTACGCGTTTCGGCTAAAGCACCTGCTCGTGTCGCCTGGGGCAGGTCGTTGTTTGTTCTCTGCCCACGTCCTTCTTGCTTTTACGGTGCGTGGTGCTGACGTTGTCGTCGTTGTCGTTGTCGTCGCAGACGTTGTCGCCGTTGTCTCCACGACTAACCGTCCTGACCAAAACGGAACACTAATTTTAGTCACTCACCTTCCCGGCTCTTCGCAGCCGGGCACCGATCTCTGGGGTACTGTAGAGAATACTCTGGACTTCGGACAAAGACCCGCCATGGTCGTGCCTTCGTCCACGCCATTTGCCAGGGTACCAAACGTGCTCGAAACGCGATCGGTTTGCTGACGAGACCAGCGCGGACGCTACTCCGACTTGGAAAATAAATACGCGCACAGAAAGACTACCCGTTCGAGATATACCCACATTCGAACGGGATGTGGTGGAGTCTTTTCAGTGAGTGGAGGACAACCGGCTGCAATGACGACAACACAACAAACGTGGCCGAAACGTGATCGGGTTGGTGATAAGACTCAGCACGGATGCTCGGATGCTAAGATACGAGTCTTGGTAGGACGTTGTTGTCAGGAAAAATAACGAAAAAACAATACAAACGTCCAATTACAGCGCCAGTAATAAGGATGATGACCTTCTGTCACACTACATATGTTATTGACCTTCTGAATAAGCAGAAGAGTCGACCGAAAAAAACATGTCTGGCAGATTGGGGCCTTAAGCTTTATACTTGGCAGCGTCGGTAAAGAAGATCGTTACACAAACATACACCTTCGTCTGTGGAAGTCTTGCGGAGCCTTACGGGCTCTTGGGATGAATGTACAAGCTTGCTTGTGGGTTGAACTTGCGTGCTCGTCATTCCGCGAACTCCTGCACAAACAACTGAACCGAATGCCCAGCACAACAACTGAATTTGGCCCCAAAGGTCAACAAAGGTGCGCTGCGTTTGGGCCCGTGAAGTAAGCGAGAAAGATTGCCATGTTTTTTGCTGCTCACGCCGCGGGCCCAAGTTTGAGCGGTGGGTGACGTTACATTATCACAGCAAATGGGTTCAAGTTTAAGATCGGCTGACTGGGCATTGGTCGTGAAATTGGAAGAGTAGACGCTGTCGGCAAACACTTCGGGAACACCCCTCTTCACCCATAGATGCCTGTCCGAGTCGGCAAGGGGGCAGAGGCCTCGAAACACAATATAGGTTTGCTTCCCAAACCGGAGAAGATAGATGCCAAAGAGACACGCAAAGCTTAGAATTTGAATATACCAGAGGGCATTGAAAGCCCCGCCCAGATTCAATAGAATGATGGCCGATGACCCTGATGACAAAGCCTTCGGCACTCGTTGTGTCGGGGGATGTACGTACGTACGTGTCAACCATGCAGGAAACAACCGACTTTCCTTCACGGCCGCATCAGTAGTCGCCGGTGCTGTCGCTCTCTTTACACGGACTACGGTGTGAGGGAACACACGAATCCCCACAAGGAGAACAACAACAAAGGGTTAGTGAGTCATCGCGAGTGAGACTTATATCTACAACACCTTAGCCAAAACACCGAGACAGAGCCAGGGACAACCGGGAGTACATTGTACTGTATACCAGACAGAAAGCGAAAGAACGACCCGTCGCCTGGAACAAAAAAAAAATGCAAACCCAAACTGAATCAAAGCAAACCTTGAGAACAAAGGAAAGACATCAATGGAATAGTCGCACCCGGTCTCCGCAAAGCTGGGGGGGTCTTTCTTCATCTGTCCGTGTTTTCCACAGGCCACCCAAGCCAAAAATAACTGAAAACTTCGAGCACACCGAAAAAACATAAATAGAGTCGTTGCACCCGACCTCTGCAAAGCTGGGGGCGGGGAGTTCATCGATGTTTTTCCACGGGCCACCCACCCCAAGACGTCAACGCACACGTCAACAAATTCAGCTAATTAAAATGTACACCTGCCTGTTGCAGGCGATAAAGTGTATCCCCCATCCCGCCGTCGCCCTACCGTAGCCAGGCAATAAACTCTCGTGCTCCAAATCAAGCGCAATAACGATCGTGTACCATACAGACGCGCCAACACTTAAGAACCCAGTAGTTGAGCACTTCAAGCTAAAATAAGTTATGAAGTCGACCGTAAGACGAGGTGGGACCGAAACCTATACATGTACGATGTTGGGTTAGCCCACACAGGAACTAAGGAACGAGCCTGACCCTGGCAATGAAAAGGAGGATCTTACGAGGAACGAACGGTTGGCGCGTTCTGTGACGTTCGAGGAAACGAGGGTATTCTCAGCCGTTGGAACCTCTCGATTATCCTCATGCATCAAAACACGAATCAAGTACACGCAGGACGTAAACACCGCCGACGTGACGTCGCGCGAAACCCTTCACATCGTCTTGTATGGCACACATGCACGCTACGGATTCCACGACGTGAAGCTACGCAACGTATCTCCCCCCCCCCCCCCTGATCGAAATTCTACCACAACGGGAAGCCGCCAAGCACACAAGTTCTTCTCCACACGGACGGCGGTGCCATAATGTATAGATATATTCCGTTTGATTACCAACCAACACGCACCGCCAACAAGAAGAAGCAACCGAAGGGATGCAAAACACTCAATACATCGTTGAGGAACTATGTACGAGGAAGGGAACTACTAGGCTTGTTAAAAAATGTACAAAATCTGACGACACCTATCTACCTGGCTTGGTCATCCGCCACTCTCGCACGGAACGACTTTTTCTTCGCTCAAGAGAGCGACAAGCAACGAGGAGTCTACGCATCGCCTGATGTAAAGACGACTCATAGCCTAGGGACACGAATCGGGGCAACAGTCTGCCTTGAAAACGCGCTTCCCGTGGTCCCGCGCGGTCGTAAATATTTTATATACTTGGTCTGGCTCCCTGAAATCAGTCACAATACCGCATTCGGTGATCGCTACGTGCTTGGGGCGGGAGGTGAAACATCATCTAACACGAAGTGGCGTGCGTGCAAAACATCGGATGCAATGTGACTGCGTGGAAGGCTTGAGTTTTTATGCACCAGGGACAACTCCGGCCTGGTCTTCGTGGGTCATCGGTACGCGCACCCAGACACGCATGATGGTGCATTGTCCACCGGTCAGCAGGTTTCGAACGTCGATTTGCTGCGGAGAAAAGAAGTGCGCCGAAACGAAGGAAAACAGAGCATGGAGTTTGTGTGAGAAACTCGAAGGAGGAAGTGCCGCAGACGATCATCGGTGTCTTGTTTCGTACAGTGATTGGTCATTGACACACAATCAACGTCTTCCTTCAGAGGATGCCCCACATGGTAGCTAACATGTTCGGACAGCACAAAAACACACATGATCCATGTGTTGTTGTGCGTGCGCTGATTTGACTTTTGGGGAGCAGGCATATCGACCAAGTGACTGCGCGAGGCAGCCCACCCTATAAATGCAGAGAGGGCCGAGTTTCGGCCTCACGGCGCGTGAACTACTCTGCGTAGCGGTACTGTACGCAACGACACCTCTCACTCACGTCACGCGAAAAACAAATACTACAATTTTTCGCTCTCTATTTACCTGAATATGAGTCAGTCCCCCGTCGGTGAGCTGGCGAACTTCGACCGTCTCCACAGTCGGTCTGCCGTTAGGTGCGCTGGTGGTGGTGGCCACGACGTACCCGTCTAGCTGTTCACTTTCGCCGAGCGACACGGTCACCTGGTTCACCCCGCCACCGCCGCCACCACCACCGTGTTGTGGGCGGTTCCAGGGTCTTGCGGGGGTGACTTGCTCCTCATCGAGCTCGAACCTTGGCGAAGGAAACGACCACAAGCGGTCAAGCAGCGAGCATTGTGGGACCGAAGGCAAGCACCGACGTATTAGGGCCTAAGATGTACAGCGCCAATGCCAATGTAAAAGGGACATCGAGCTCGCGAAAGATTTTGACCCTATACACGGAGAAAAATACGAAGGATTAGGGAGGCGTGGCAGCGAACGAACGCTACAGTAGCTCTCACGCTCTCGTCGGTGGCTACTAATAAACAAATGATGAAGTAAACATCTCCATCACACAAACTGGTGGGCCAATGAAAAGCTTCCGGTCTCGCTGTAGTGGGTAAAACTGCAAGAACGCATCAAGACCATTGAGCCCCCCGACGGGAGGAGTAGGCTGGACGCTGTGCGTGTTCGTTCGGAAAAAAGAGGGAGGTGCTTTGATCGACTTCGGCAATGTGAAACCGGCCTATGAGTGATAAACGACCTCCTCCCTCCTCCTCTTCCTCATCCTCCTTTACTTCGCCAAACCTGCAACGAACCGCATCCCAATCGGCGGTGCGTCTGTAGGAGGCTCCTAGCTTTGGCCTCTTACCTCTCGGTGAAGTTGTTGATAGCTGTTTTCTTGTGGATGACCAATTCAGACGCGTGCAGCGCTATCACGTTGCGGCTTTGGTACTCGCGCTCCCCGGTCACCTGGAAAAAGCACCATAGTCCAACGCAACATTCAGCACACGATCGAAGTAGGTACTATGGGTCCTTACGCGCCTTTATTTGCAGCCATTCGATTCTGCCAAGGCATAAAATTAAGACACGAAAACTTCCAGGAGTGGAATCGGTCCGAGGAAGTACTCCGTGAAGGCTTCATCTTGTCGCGGAGAGATTAGTCTTCTTCTCAGTCCAACGTCACGCGGAGCGAAACAGAACGACGGTCTATCCATGTCTTCATGGAGCGGTGCGGTACTGCTTTGCTGGCCGCCGAGCGGATGAACACGGGGTGGGAAATGATTCGGAGCGGTGCGACGCTCTAGTTTAAGAATACGGAGCAGTTTTCGTCTACAGAACATTCTCCGTCGGAAACCGCTCGAAACGGCGGATTTCGTGGCGGGGTTGCGTCAAGTCAACCAAACCTAAAGGAACGGTTGTTTTTCTTGTTCCGCGGGCTGCCCTGGAGTGCATGTCGCCTCAGGACACCCCGTCTCATACTGCCAACAACTCCATGACAACACGCAATGGCCGGGTACTTGAGTCCAAGCTGGAACACCGGCATATTGAAGTCATAACCCTACGATTTACACGGAAGGCCGGTCAGTTTGGGTGCATTCATTCCCGCCCCTCCCGCCCCTCCCGCCCCTTCCCGATGCACATCTTGCCTGAGCGAGGATGGCCTGTGGCGGAGTGCCGAGGCATTGAAGGTATCTTTCGAAGGTGTCCGACCTGCATCATCGGACAGAATGAAGCGAACACTGATAAGTCTTAGGAAGCGAAGGTCCCGGGGGCTGTGTTCTCCGCGCTCTACGGCACGCTGTTGTAGCAGCGCATACATACGCTTTCTTTGACGATGGATGGATACGTTGGTTGAACATGAAAGAAGGTCCAAAACAATGATCAGGCTGGACACATGGCGGGAGCCTTTTTTTTTCGGGAGCCATCACTCGCTGGCAATCATTCATTGTTTTTGTTGCAATCCTTTCGTCTGTCGAGTGATGTGGAGCATGAGCAGCCAAGCTATAAGTGCGGGTTGCTCCTCCGCGAGTGTACGTGCTGCTCTACTTGTGCCACCAACAACGTGTTCTATGTCGCGTCAGCTCGTGGTTTCCCTACTACCCACATCCCCAAGAAGTCAGAAAACATTTCGTATCTTCTAATATTCCCATTTTTTTCCCACGCAAGCTGGAGACTGCCCCCCCCTCTCTCTCTCTCTGGGAGTAATTGTGTGTCCACTACGAGCAGCTTCCCTGCATCCCTGCTGTATAGTGAGCTCTCGACCGTTGTATTGTGATGAAAAATCCAGTTCATTTGGCTGAACCGACACTCCAACCGAACGTCAGGAGGTTGTGAGGTTACATCTACTGAATACATTCAGCCACTGCCGTAGAGCAAATAAAGTCGACCGGGGGAAGGGACGGAAAAAAAGCAACCAAAAGGCGAAGGAACCAAAGGGCGGGCGTCGGGTGACCCGCCGTCCGTAAAAGAGTATATTTGTTGGAGATGATGGCGCGAGAGCCGTCTAGAGCGAGAAAAGATTATTTACAACACACCGCTCGCTCCGGATTGTTCACTATGAAGTACTTATTCCTACAGCGCAGCAGTAGTAGTGCATCCGCCGATGACGACAAGAAGAGAGAAAAAACTAACTTTCGCTCCGTCGTTCGTCGCCTTCGAACGAAGTACTTTCCCTCAACGAAACAATACCACCAAATAACGACCACAACAACAACAACGAGAACAATACGGATGGCGACGAGGACGGCTTGGCACCGTCTGTGTGAGACAGATCAATTTTATGAGTAGATAGAATGATGGTAACAGCTGTACATGTGGTCTAAGTTGGAAGCGACGCGCTGCAAAGCTCGTTGTTAGTAAACTAGATCGACTTCATAAGTCGCGAGGGAAGGGATTGCTGTACCCTTCTCGCGATAAAAATATTCCAGGCAGGAACCGCAGGAGGGGGTCCAACCCCCCCCTCCTACGTGACCCCGGTTGGGTCGTCTACCTAGTAGAAGTGGAGGATGGGGGCCAGAGGGGCAGACGACAGAGTCCAGTGATGGGAGAAAAAAAAAAAATGTAGGTCGTTTATCAGAGCAGCGGATAGTCTTTCCTCGGTGATTCTGTGGTCGTGTATCCTCAACATTGAAGTTGTCCGCCAACAGCACGGGATATATATAGCCCGTTGACTTCGCATGGTATTGAGAAGGGAGCCCACCTGGATACGCCCCACCAAACCTCCCCCGGCAGCGTGTTGATCTGTGGGTGGCTCATTCTTGTCTGCACGGACTTCGACCCTCACAGAATTCTAGTGGAGAACGAGTAGCATCCAGTTTGTTTGCTCACAGGTACATGTAGATCCTTTTTTTTTTTTTGCTCTACCATACTGAGAAATTGTCCGCTTCTCCTCATATGTACCACAAAGAACCAGACATCTTCATCATCCTGATAGCAGAAATAGAGGGAAGGAGCTGACCTAGATAAGTCCAACACCCAAGCTCCTGAGATGGTGCGTTCGGGAGAAATTCCATTCATCACGGCTCTTGTCCTCGGATCCTCACTCGTACACTCGTACAGTGTAGTGCTGATGAGCGACACAAAAGAACGCGACAAAGAAGGCGGACGATTGATGGACGCAGCAGCGGTCGATTTTGTGGAAGCGGGCAAATTTAAATATATCACGATCATCGAATTTACGCGCACGCCACAAAGTCACCACTGCGCTGCCCAGCCGCTCTGTGTCTGGGCCGGATGTGAGTTATCGGTCATGCAGGGACACATAAATAGGTGCGTGTTGGTCGTGAGAGGGCCGGGCACACAGCGCGTCCCCGGATGCGTTGCTGTGGTCGACAGATCAGATGAAGTGAGTGAGTGACCTATCACTCACTCATACTCCGGAACAACAACCACGGCACCTGGACCAGCTGCGGCGAGGTGCGGCCAAAGGGCGGCAGAAAAAAATACCCCTCGGCGCAAGCTGGCCAGCTGCCTCAACAGCGCAACAACTCGATCAGTACACACAACGAGGGTGAACTGCGTAGTAGATGGTTTGATCTTAAGAGAGCACCAAAGGCAGCATCGCCTGTCGTCAACAGCTAAGTAAGCACACACCTCAAGCCTCAACCAACCCCGCAATTGCCAATCGAAAAATGGATCCTCAAGGAAAATGCCTGCCGGCAGGTAGCCAGATATTATGCAGCCTACCGGATCCCAGAATCAGCCAGTTTGCCACTTTTTGTTGCTCCGACTCTCCAACAGGTCGGGAAAAAAAAACATTGTATTTCTGTGTGTGTTTATATGATTCCTTAATTGTATGTTCGGCGCCGACCACCAGGGTGGGATTTAATTAGCCGCCCGCGCTGTTCCGGCGGCAGATAGATGCGGCTAACTGGGGCAACGGGCCGGAAGGGCGGGACGCCGCTCTACACGCTCTACAATGCACGCTGCCGGCAGGAATGGGAGGTGCAGGCATGGGAGGAGATGGCAACCGAAGAAGAACTAACTAGTGTATGCATTACTTACCAGTCACCGCCGAGCAGGATACGGTTTTTAACCGGTTGTGCGCGATTGTTTGTCGCGATGGCTCTTGCCTTTGCGGGGCGCTGTAAACAGTCCGCCGCTGGTGTTCTGTCGACCGACATAGAAGTATAACTTACGGACGACCGCGCGACCCATCCACTTAGTTCTATCGTCTGCGGATCTATGAACTCCTCTGTGTGTGCTGTTTGCGGATCAGTCAGTTAGGTGCGCGATTGGGCACCGTGCTGTGGCCCACAAGCAGGTGTGTGTGTTGTTCAAACAGCAGAGTTATGTAGAGTTGTTCGTGCCGTGTGGGATTGTGATGTATGCGTGGGTGGGATCAGGCCTACCTTGCTGCTTGCCGCACGAGTTGCCGCACCGCCAAGCTTGATGGCCGGTGAGAAGCTCCACTTGTTGTTTCGAGGAGAAGAAGCAGAAGTAATTCTCGGGAGATATTTATTTGCGGCTGTGGAGGTGGTGGGAACTGTGAGACGTGTGAGCAGGCGAGTGACGGGACGTACTGTCTCCTTCCTGTGTTCCGTTGCGGAGTTACTACCGCACCAACCATAGCAGTCGTGCAGGGACACCGTTAAAAATTCCAAAAAAATGTTCCAGATACGGCCCAAAGGGCCCGCATCCGCGGCCCAAGGGGCACCCTTGCGAACCACCCCCAAGTAACCCCAACCTGTTGATATTGACATCTGTGACCCCGCGGGACTTTCGGCCATACCCGAGTCTACCCTACTCTGTGCGGTTCACCGGCAAGGGGGTAACACGGGGATGTCATAGTAGTGAAGATTCCTACATACGAAGATCTATTGGTTTTTCATCCGCTGGATGCACATACAAATTATGGTGGGTGGGCACATGTTCAGAACGAGTAATCCGGGTTCCATTCATTCATGGAGACGGAGACGGAGAGACATGAGTCCGACCGAGCCCATACATTGAGCAAGTAGTTAATATTCGATGGTCAACTATGCGTAGTCTAATGAATCTGTTCCCCTTTTCGACTCAAAAAGGGTTGAACCTTCCAATGGTGAAAAAAAAGAATAAAAAAAAAATAAACGGGGCTGGCTTTAAGATGTAGAGGCCAAAACGATCCGCCGTGCATGGATGGCATGTGCGGTGACTGTTATAGATACCGCCGAAGATATGCACACTATTAATAGTTACGATATGCCCCTGCTTCCTCGTCATAATATTATATATTACAAGGTCTCCAGGCTCGGGCGCCAGGAGCTCAGTATTACGCTGAAAGGAAGGGTGGTGGGTGAAGACTGTGCACAGCATACCAAGGGCACGGAGCTGGAAAAGACGTTCACCTATATATTATGGCACTGTATGTAGAGGCTACAGCAGCACCTTCAATACCACAGCGTGTCGTTGGCAGTATTATTACAGAAGAAGACAAAAAACAAACTTGAAGTTCACGGTGTGCACGCAATGCATGTGATGTTGGAAAACTCAAAGCACAAGCGAATGAAAGTAGACCTGTATGTATGTACTTGGCACTTGGCGGGTGGGTGTGTATTTCAGGCATATATACGTTGCCGTGTGCATGTACGTACGTGAAGATACACGATGCACGTGAGTGAGGACTTGGAAGTAATTACTTCAGTTAGCGTTGCTTACGCTGGAGAAGGTGACGACAGTAGTCTGTCGAATCTAGTCGACACCACGCCGCACAAATACAACATAATCCGCCGTCGGTGCTACATGTAACAACAACGTGCGTGGTGGTCGGTCATGGTTAATGAGTTGACGTTTTCCAAAATCTCGTCCAATGAAATTCGTGATTCTTCTGACAGACAGTCCCTACCGTAGACGCGCCCGGATGCAGGAGATTTAGTCTTACTTCACGGTGCTGTAACTCGGCTCGCCCTTGGAGTCTAGAGCTCGCGACAGGGGCGCTGTGATCGTGAGAGGTGGCACGCCCACGTCGGCGAAGACGGCCGAAAAAAATGTTAAAACCCCATTTAAAAACAATTGAAACCGATTTACCGCACCGCAACGTCTATCTAGCTCAATGACTGAAATAATAGTGGTTCGTACATTCACCGTGCTGTAACTCTACTCGCCTTTGGAGTTTCGAGCTCCCGACAGGGGCGCCGGGATCCAGAGACTGGCCCGCTGCAGCGGGCAACAGCCGGCGAAAAAAAAAGTCTCAAGGCGACCGCGAACTGATGATGCACCGAAACAAAACGTCTTGCTTTTAGAGGTTGAACTCTTGCGTCTCAGGCCTCCGACATAATTGTAGTTGAGTCTATGCATGGATGTGGGAATGAAACACTCATTCATCGCGTCAACCGATCCGATGGACATTTTATGTGCATACCATACCACATATTACATACACGCCACCTTTGCGAACCATGTGGTGGATGACAACCAAGATGATGACGAGTGAATCGATGAAGCACATAATAAACAATTTTCGGCACCTCGCAGGTTAACTAAGTAAGTCAGCCGTAATATTGTTAAAGCAACCAACCCCTTCTTCTGCCCGTGACAGAGAGAGAGAGAGAGAGAGAGAGAGAGAGAGAGAGAGAGAGAGGCAAAACCAATCTTTAATAACACACTACACGCGAACGCCGTCGTCACCGTCTGGCGGGATGACAACTCACTCACCCACGCCACCATTGTGGTTGTTGGTCGTGAGTGCACTTCGAATGGATACAGAATGAAGTGAAGTCATCGGGAGCCCTTCCAACTACTTCATGCACTAGTAATCAGACCACTCACACAAGAAAGTAATGCACCGCCCAACCCTATGCTAGCTCCTCGTATATGGCACTATCTCGTACACAACTTACTACGGAGTTCACTGAATTCCATCAGTCAGTGCAGTCTGGAAGACAAAGTGAGTGTTGGTAGGGACAAGTTCTTCAAGTCAGTCTGGTTCGTGGATACCAAGCCCTCAAGTTCTCAACTTACCAATCAACTTGTTATGAAATGAACGAGGTGGCGCGGTTATATTTAGCCGACCGGCGCAGCAAAGGAAGCAAACAAGTGCTCGTGTGCGTTCACGTGTCCGGGTCATTCATTGGAACTTACTGCAGGCCTCCTTCTAGATCACACTCGGGAGAAAACACATCTATTGTATCATACGATGATGGATGGTGTCTACGGCCGTCGATTTCATCATCCATCGTCACAGCCGCCGCAGCTGCTAGCCGCGTCGCACCCCGCCAACACCAAACACAACCATCACCAGACTGAACGGCCGCACGAAAATCCACGATGCCCTCACTTGACCAAGCGTGAGCTTTCCTGAGGTAACCATCATCATATAAGCTTATCGCGCCCCCCCCCCCCCCCCCCCCCCCCCCCCGCTTTTCCCCCCACCCCCTTCCTCCCCTTCCCCCCCCTCCCCCCTCCAAAACCGCAACCCACTTTTTTCCGCGGGGGAAACGCAAATTTCCCCCCCCCAAGGGGGGGATTCCCCCCCCCCCCCCTTTTTTAAAAAAATTTTGCCCCAAAAAAAACGGGGGCCCCCCGGGGGCGAAAAAAACGCCCCCCCAAAAAAGAAAAAAAAAAAAAAAACGGGGGGGGGGGGGGGTTAAATTTAAAGGAGCCAAAAATGGGCCCTTTTTCCCCCCCTTTTTTTAAAGGGGGGGCCCAAAAATTTCCCCCCCCCCCGGGGGGGCGGGGAAAAAAAACCCGCCAAACCCCCCGGGGGGGAAAACGGGGAAAAACCCCCCAAACCGCCAAAAAGTTGTTTTTTCCTGGGAAATTCATCAAACCAAGGAAAAAGGGGGCCCCCCCCCCCCCCAAAAA